GTATATGCATGTATGTATGTGTGTGTGTTTGTCGTGCAAATGTTATTTACGATGAAATTTCTGTTGTAGCTTAATACCTCGCGAAGGTAATGGTGCATACTTGTGCTGCATTTACGTGGATTAAACGCAACTAAACTAGCTGAGCTATGTCGCGTGTACATATGTATATACATATATACTACATAGCCATCTATATATAAATATCTTGTATTTGCATCGCCATTCTGCGAGTGTAAATATGTATATGTGTATGCAAATCGCTTCGTACTTTGTAAAGAAAGGGCTAAAGCTTGCAGCTACATATGCACTTATGTATGTATATACATACATATATAAATAGAAGCGCTATGCAGCGGTAAATAGGTGTGCTATTTAAATAAAAGCCAACGCGTCTAACAACAGCTGTACAAAGTTAACTGCTGCCGCTGCTGTTGCATGCAACATCTGTTGGATAAACGTGCGGAATTCGTTGGTGGTCATTAACTGAATTCATTTTCCACCGTTAAACTGTATTTACCTTCAACGGTGCAGACATTTGTGTGTATGTATGGCTTTTGACTTCGATTGTCTACAGTTGTGTTAAAACAAATTGAAAACTGTTAATTGAGTTGTACATTTTGGTTCATAATTATATTTTCAGGTTGGAAAATGTTTTTTGTTTTATTTTTCTGGGGAATACGATATACGAAAAGTAGAGGGGTGCTAAGGGTAAAGACGTTGAACCTTCATTGTATTTGTTGACGTGCGTCTAAATTATTGAAGACATGTCTTCCGTTTTTCGCAACATGATCGACCTAGTTGGAGGTTTTTCGATCTGCAGATAGCCAGGCAGCTTGATAAATTTTGCTATGCTGGAATCTAGTACTACAGATAACCATATTTCGAGTCCCGCCGAAGCCGATCCACCTCAATCCATTTGGGGATGTTTTATCATAGAAGCAGAATTTACTAACCGTTGTAGCAAAGATACCATCCTTGCCCAACCTGGCGTTAAAGTAGCCAGTGTGGATAGATGCTTATTGTGGCAAGACGTTCATCCACCGGGGTGAATGACAGTACGACGGAGTCTTTTTCCCACACCGATTTTGCGCTTCTTTATATAGCCATTGTAGTAAATCCCACGAGGACCTACGGGTTTCAGTCCTTGTCCCGTCTTTTCACTTTTGGACGGCGGGGATGTCAGCCTGCACTCTTACGAGGACATTAACCAGCTGGGCTGCGGCAATTTCCCTATTAAGGGGTCGGACATTATAGGTGCAAGTTCTTAAATCGTAATTCTTAACACGCTTGCTGTGGTCGTTATCAAAAGAGTGGATCTCAGAGAGCGCAGCCTCTTTGAGAATAACTATTATTAATTTTGGGTTCGCTGAATGAGCGCTAAAAGCAAGTGATAGGATATCAAAACTCTTTATTTCTGGTATCGAGTTACTTTATGATTAGACTGGTTTGGATACCTGACCACAGCAGATTGCAGGAAACTGTAAATTTGATGACCTTGCCAGGACAGGCACTTCAGTCTCAATTACTGGGAATAAGAAGGAGCTCTCTTGATCAACTCAACAAGCACTGGCCAACATTCAGTAGCTGTGCAGTTGAAGGGTCCTTCGGACCAGTGTAAATCGTAAGATGTCCAGGAAAGGAAATTAATGCAGTAAGTTTGAATATCTTACCGGATAGCAGTATCAAGTCAACACTTCCTCCTCGAACTGCCCGCTTTGGCCGAATCAAAGCAAACACATTTCGGATCTGAGACTTTCAGACACCCAAGTGAAAAAACGGGAATAGAAACAATATATATATTTTTGATAGATTCAGTGTCGTCTTATTGGAAAAAAGAGATTCTTTCCGCCTGGCTTCGAAGACAAACAATCTAGTTGAGAATCCTCGCCATGTTGAGTGATCAGTCATCTCAACTAACCTAAGGCACGCTCTTGTATTGAATAAAAAGCTGTCATAAATAGTAAACTTGATCAGACATCCCTATTTAATATGGATTAATAAGTTTTGAAGTTCAAAGCTCAAATTGAAAATAAGGCACGATCTTACGTTTCAGAAATTAAGAATTGGTTTCATAGATTCATGTCTGTAAATATGTATAGGCATCAAGGTTTCCTTCAAGTTAATACTAATAATAATATAAGTTGAGTCACACTAATATTCTTTGGGTTTAGGGTGGCATCACTTGACTTAGTTCACGAAAATTATCACTTTAAAAGTCACATGGCAAAGTACCCTAGTCGAAGATTACTGGTCCGACCGTGCTAAAACCTCTATAGAAAAACGTTTATTTTAGAAGCAATCTGAAATAGCCGAGTATATTTCTGATATTGAAATCATCTGTTGCTCGAAAAAGACTTGACGGTTCCCCGTACATTATAAAGTTATCCATTTCGAGGTTCAATACTTTTTTTTTTTTAAAGAAAAACACAGGAACTTAAGATTTATTATCATTCGAAAGAACATTCTTTGGCATTTAGTTTTTGAAGATTATCTCTTTCAAATGTTGCTTTATCCGTTAATCAACTCGTCTTCTTATGGTAGTCTGGTAATAGCTGAAGTCAACTTATGTGCTGCCATTTCTTTAAACACCACTGTAAGCGGTCACAATCGCGTATGCAGATAAAATTGTGACTCGCTGTCAGTTTCACCGACGTGCTGTTTCGTTTTCGTGGGCGTTTGATGGTTGGCCATTCTCATTTGGGTTGGTCGGATGTAAAAAGAGATTATCAACTGCGTTTGTTTGCTAAGTAAATACATAAATACACCAGTTTTTTTTTAGAGTTTATTGCACACTTTATATCTGTGCCTGCTGCTGCTCTTGCTGTTGATGTCCCGCTTTGTGTTGCTCTTGTTGTTGTGGTTACTTTAACTGCTGGCTACACCTATTATAATTTGCTAGCTTAACAATGTATACACAAAGTTGTGAGCAGTACTGAGCGGTAGCTGCGCTTCACTAATGCCGTGGAAAATTGTGGAAAATTACCGTAAATAAAAAGGTAAAGGTAAAATCTAGTAAGGCGAAGTTCGTGTGGAACCAAACGTAGAATACTGTCGGAAGTTGTGGGAAAGCAAAGGTTAAAATATAGGGTGTTTTTTTAGGTAAAGAATTTCGCGAAGTGATAGCTGTCAAATCAACTGTCAAAGTAAATATTTTGACAAATAATATTAAAAATTTATGAACATTTATTTCTAAGGGTTTGTTTCTGAGCGAGTTTCGACCGTTTCCACGACAGTCGGATCTACGTAACCGAAACGGACCCAGATTCTCAATAGATTCATCGAGAGACTCACCTGGCTCTTTTTAATCAAGAAAAAGGTATGTTATGCAATATTTTCCATGCTGAAGGCATTCTCGGATCGTATTTTTTGTAATCTAGGGATAGAGGAGATAATTTAATCTTCGGCGATTAAATTTAAATTCACTTCATCAGTTGCGGACTGATCTCCAGGAGGACCTCAAAAAAAGGTATCCCACGTGCTAAAATTATCTTAAGTCCAAAATGCAAAAAAAAAAAAAAAAAAAAAAAAGACTTTCATGGCTCCGTCCTTCGTGTAGTTAATTGTGAGCAATAACTGTGCTTGAAGATGAGATATAGACCGATTTCATTTATTCGTGACACTGGTGTAGGGACTCAAAAGGTCGTTCTATGGGAAGTAGGTGGTATCTGATCTTTTTTTATATTTTTAGATTTATCAGATTTACTTTTGGTGAGTTTACTCTTGTAGTTTGCGATTTGTGGGATTCCAAACAAAGTCTATGGTTCCAAAGCTGATAATCCACTTTTTGTGATCTATAGGTCGGCCTACTACTTAAGCTTTGTTGTTGTTGTAAATACGTTTAAGTAGTTGACAGCTCTTGGTCGGAAAAAAAATAAAATTCACTCCGGCATCGCAGAAACAATTGAACTGTAGATGACACTTCAGGAAGAGGATTTGGGTCTTCATGCTAGTATGTACAGATAACATTTTTGTGGTTACAAGGTTGCTCTAACATATCTTATTGTGAACCTAAGGTGTAATGTTTACAATTATGCTCGATAGGCACGACAGGCCAACACCACCAAATCAAGTGGCCGCCACCATCGTTCCCACGACAGTCAGATCTACGCAACCGGAAAGGATCCGAAATTTGTATCCCGTCAAGGGCTGTCAAGTCGCCAGAATTCTGCTGATCAACTCTTCACTTTTTATACGCCGATCTTTTTATCCCATATGCTATACTAAAAAAACTACAGTCAGCTGTCAGCAAAACTGTTATACTCTAAGTAACATGTTGCGTGGATATAAAAAAAAATAAAAAAACAAGCTTTGCACCTGTCGCTTAACTCTTTTTTCCACCCCGCACGTCATTAAATGTATTTGTATGTAACGCTCAAGCATACAAAGCTATACATACATAAATATGTATAAAAGCTGGCACCACCTGTGAGTGTATGTGTTTGTATATACGGCATAATCGGTGTTTTCCCTTTTCCACATTTTATTTATGTTTTAATCCTATCTCTTTTATGGCGAGCAAGCAGTCAAGCCCCACCGCCGCAACAGCGTTTTCCGACCAGCCGTGCGCTTTAGCCTTTGAGCTTTGCAGGCGGCGATTTACCCACATACTACCGCGTGCAAATAAACACACATACAAACACACACGCGTAGCCACGTTTACACGCAGCTACCATTTACATTTAATTAAAAGTACTTTAGCACAATTTTTATCCTTCTCGCGAACAGTTCTTCGCAGTTCTTTTCAGCCCACACCAAATTGCATAATATTTCATACGAACTCGCGTTGATTATAAGCAGCAGTACAGGCATGAGTACATATACATACATATATATCTATGGCTGCTTATGTATATGTTTGCATTTATGTGTGTATGTGTGTGTTTGCTTACCTGCGTTGCGTCGGCCCATCCTCAACTCTCAATATCTTTGTTTGTGTATATGTGTATATGCATGCGTATGTAGCCATTATTTAACATGTTTTTCCCTTCGTTTGTTTACAGTGATGATGGAAAATATTACCGAAAGTTGGACCTATTATATGTACGTGCTGCTGACACTGGTTCCAGTCTATTTGGCATTTCAATTAATTAAGTTTTTCGGCTGGGAATTGTTTGTCAACAACTGACACAGACTATATACAACAATAACAATAACAAATATAAGTGAAAAAATAAAGTGTTTTCTAGGCGTGCCTAACTGCTGGTGGAAGCTGATAAAGCACAAATAAGCTCCAGTCTAATAAAAAGTGAGTAGCGGCATTTGTTTCATTTTCTCGCTTTGTTGTTTGAGGTGCAAAGTTTTGTTTAAAAACTAAATATGCTGTGTACATTAAACAGTTCTCTCACGTAATCAATTTATTTTACTCAAAATCACGTGCTATTTCGACATTTACCGTTAGTTTAAGCTTTAAATTGTGGCAGGAACTCTATGTAATACCTCAGAAAATTGGTAATTTACCGTTCAGAAAATTTTAATTGTATTCTTTTAAGTGGAGAAAGTGATGGACTTGAGGAAAATTTGAGCGCAGTGAACTGAGCTCATTGAAAAGGTTATATCCACTTGTGAAATTCTAGTGATTTTTATGTTGGATATCCATATATCGAATCTATATATCATATCGTCAAATAAAATGAAAAATAACTTAACATCACTTTCATAAGTTTACAGGCGAAAAAAAACGATGTAATAGAAACCAGACATATTGAAACAAAGTTTGAGTTTTGGTTATAAAATGCTTATATATTGGTTATATCTGACAGCCGAAGCTGAAAATTTTATGATACATTTATGTAATATGATGTAGTGCATTGTAAGCAATAAAAAATTTCATAGCACTATTTTGATGATAACTTGTTTTGCATTTTAGGTGACGATATGTGTACTAAAAAATATTCTGAACAATTTTAAGTTAATTTGGCAATTTGTTACTGATATATGAATGATGAGTTTTTCAGAATTTTTTTAACATGGTAAAATGAATGAAAATACCTCTTCCAAAAAAAAGTTTTCCACAAGGGGAGTTTTTCTGACTTGCTAGCGAATCTGAGCCCTTTACCAGTAGCACGGTAGTCTTCCATCCAACGATAGGACATGTAACTAGAACGGTCTGTTATTTTTTATCAGCTAAACATAAAAATAACCAAACAAAAACCTCAGCTTTAGAGATATTAGACTGAAATTTTGTGTCTCGTTTTGTGTTAAAATAAATGTTAACTCGAAGTTTGTTTCTCTAAAAGTCAAGGGACAACACCTTTTCAGTTAAAACATTTGTTATTAAATGGTGGCATTCTTCCCTTTTTTATACAAACTTCCCCGAATTGAATTTTTGTTTTGTTAAATGAAGCTTTAAATCTCAGCTTTCCAACACTATACTCGTATGGTATGACACAATGTGATGTGGTAGCACTGGAGATATACGACTGCAACGACATCTATTGACAAAATACGAAAATACTTTTTCGACTACCCAACTAATCAGGATGACGACCTGAGTCAATTTAACAATGCCCCTTTGTCCATTGAGAAATCGGTCAGAAATGTTTCACAAGGTTATTATCCCCAAGAAGTTGCGCATTTGTCGGTACCTTCGATAGCATATGTAGCTGCCATACAACTGAACGGAATGGAAATCGAGTGCTTGTAAAAATTATCTTGTATATCTGAAGGGTTTTATAGCTTCGATGGAACCGAAATTAATGTTTTTTCTGTTTTTTTTCCCCTCAATTTCATTTGGAATTCAAAGCATAAATTCGATTTTATCTGTATGTAAGCCACCTATCAGAGAAATTTGTTTTTTCTTTGATTTCGATTTTGATAATGAATCAGTTGATCAGTCAACGTGTCAACCGAAGTTTCTGCGGTGTACAACATTTCTGACGATTATGTATTAACACAAATAAAAACTTACGCGTTGTGCCTTATCGATGTTTACAGGTCAGCTTTAAAATAACTTGATCTGGCGTTCTAGTGGTCGAGTGTCTGTCTGTCCGTGCGTCCAGCTGCAACTTAAATAAAAATTGAGATATATTGATGAAACAAGGAAATAGGTAAGGCGGTAGATGGTCGTAATCGGTTCACTATGCCCACAAATACCAATTCTCCAACGCCAGTTTTGCTGCACTTTGCTTCAAATTCGCCTAAAGTATATCCAAATAAGCTCTATTATCTATTGTTAACTCAATAAACTCGATATTGCCCACTCCGTTACTAGTAATATACTCCCACACCATTACACTTCCACCACAGTGTTTTACTGCCGCCGCAAAATTTTGTTTATTGAGTCCAGTACCGTGTTTTCTACAAAACAAGCTTCCGTCCTTTTATTCCAAATATGCACAATTAGCTTTCATCTGAGAATATAACCCGTTTCTAAAACTCCATCGGCTTATTAATTTACGCATTGGAAAATGCAACTCGCTTCTGTCTGGTCGTCAATGATATGAATGGCTTCCTTCGTATGACTCGGCTACGATAACCAGCTTTTTTGAAAATTTTGCACCCGGTGTCACTGCAAATAGATTCCTGGAACCTTATTTTAATCTCTTTCGCAACAGCTGAAGGGCCGATTCAGCGACGTCTTGAACGAAGTTTTGAGGCGGTGGAACCCATCGATTTATACGTTCCAATCACTCTTCTTGTTCGGCCCACTGTTTGAAAGATTTTACGGAAAGTTTTTTCTTCTTTCCATAACTTCACGATTATATCCCTGGCAATTGTTAGTTTGGCTGGCTGGCTTAGTTTACTTTTTCTATCCATTTCACAAAACTCACTTTCTATAACTAAAAGTTCTCGGAAATATTTCAACCACTACGAACTAGTCTCATTTAACTGATTTTAGTGCAGCTAAACTAAAAAAATGCTGTAATTCCCTTGTTTTGTTTTGTATGCACATCTTTCTTGACTAATGAATGTCCTGAATGTCATTCTTGCAAGTTGCAAGAGTATAAAATGTCCGGTTGCACTCCAACTTAGTTACGTGTTCGTTATTAAAATCCTATTACTTCAAAATTTCCTCGCCAGTGTTTCAGTATGAACTCTAGCAAAATGTAATAATACAAAATTAACCAATAATTTCAATAAAAAAATTCGGTTGCATAAATGCTGTTTTTTTATTGATTATTTAATTTCATTTATATTCGCATTTAATTTGTTTGCTTGCACTAAACTTAGTCATAGTGCTAGTAAGGTTATTATTGAAAGTTGCAATTATTTGCTAATTTCTTAATGACATTTTCAACGCTTAATTAAAGCTTCACAGTTGAACAAATTTGCGAAACTGTGAGCGATAATTATGAACATTTTAATAACAACTGTAGCAATGCAAAGTAATTTTGAAGCACAGAAATTTCTATGTTGAGTTTCGTAGTTCACTTGACTGTTGGAGATACACGTACATACTTAAAAGGGCGGTTTGATAAGTAAGACGGTGACTTGAACAGAGAAATGTATTTATTTAGTAGCATTTCATTCACTAAGGCTGGTATATGCATTAGATCGATTTGAGTTCAGTTTGGGTAGATTTTTTGCTATAAAATCGCCTATGCGATAAATGTTCAATGGATCATTCTGAATAAAGAACTATGGGTCTAAATTTGATTTCGAGTCAGCGATTTTCAACGCGAAGTTTAAAAAATCATCGCTACAATTTTTGGAAAGACATCTATCTGTGAGAATAGTCCTTAAAGGGAAAATTTGCTATGTGCCCACAAACTCGTTCAAGCCAATAGTTAACACCAATAATGCAAAGGGAGTAGCTGAATATAGCTTGCCACTAAATTACTATGCATACGTTTAAAGGAGTTGCTGCTCCTATTTTTGTTATGTGTTCGATTTTATACAACAAAAGGAGGACTCGAGAAAAAAAAAACTGATTTTTGAAGTAACAAAGAGCGATTTGGTTTGGGAGACCAAATCTCACTCAAAGAACTTTAAAGCCAAATGAGCCAAAGAGTAATATAATAAATATCGACTTTACCTTACAAATAAATAATTAAAAACTGTTCTAATGAAAGGTTGGGTTAGGTCGTAGGGTGAATCTAATCGATAATAATCGGGGAGAAAATGACAAGATGTTTCCACCCCACCTTCATTCTTATTTAGCCGCACCGCAAGTGAACCTTTTGGCCAGTGTCCAGTCAGGACAGAGATCGGAGGACCTCTTACGGTTCAGAAGGATCTTGTTGTTAACCATCACTTGCTGAGCTCATTGGAGGTTCAAAGGTCCAACGTCAGAGCGCAAGAAGATATCTGTAAACCGATTTCCTTAATATCGTATAAAAAAAGGAAAAGGATGGTCTCAATATCAAGCTCATCGGCATTTTGAGTTTCCACCGATTCTGCTCCGGGCCGGGCGCCTAAACAAGTATTCGTATAAGCAAAAAGGTTGAAGCTATTGCTATTCAGGTCATGAACTGCTTAACTACTTTTGAGCGCACAGTCAGCTATGTAGCTCAAAGCCAGTATAGCCGCTCGGCTATCGGAGTGAATACGCACCTCTCGGAAGGAACGACATCTACTGCTACTTTATTAGCAGCCACCAACGCTTAGGGACAAAATGCTTAAAATTTAAAATTGCTTTAGTACTTTGCACCGACTTATTCTAGTTGTTAGCATCATTTCGAGGAACCGAAAAGCTTTACCTTAGCAGACCGTCCTCTTATCGGCAGCAATTGCCGCAGAAATATTTTACTACAACTTCTACCTATACCCTTACTTTTCAAAAGTTATACTTCCATGTATGCAGTTTTCTGTTCCGACCAAAGCCACGAAGTCTTGCAGTCTTCCAGCGCCTGCAACAGAACGCATAAATTTTGTGGAAATCTATTTAAGCCAACAAATGAAACAAAAGTACTAATTTGAGTGGAAGAAATTATGAATACATGGCCTCAAAGTTTTTCTCCATTTTCTACCATTAAAATTGCGGTCAAAGTTTAATTGCTTGCATACTCACACACACACACATCCACAGCACAAAGCAAAGGAAATTGTACAAAAAAGACACAGCAAAGAGCCACCCAACTCCACTACATTCTCGCATTTCGCCGGCACCAGGTCTCCCGTGGGGCTCTGCTCTTTGCGGCATTTGCATTTTTGCGCAAAATGCTGGTTTTGTACCCAGCGACCAAGTGAGTGCGACTGCGAGTTCGAGTGGCCGGTAGTTAGACGACTGCCAGCACATCTGCTTGCTTTGGTGTATAAAAATGAAAGTGCAAAAATATTATTATTATTATTATTATTAGAAACACA